ATTAATGGTATAATAGGCTACAAACTTGCTGTCCTGCTTTTTTCCTTTGCTTGTTCCGTCCTTTTTACAATTGTGTGGTGTGTGTGTGTGTGCGTATGTGCCAGTACTGGAGCTTGAACTCAGGGCCCTGCACTCACACTTGGCCAGCTTTTTTTTTTTTGTCGGTCGTGGGGCTTGAACTCTGGGCCTGGGTGCTGTCCCTCAGCTCTTCAGCTCAAGGCGAGCGCTCTACCACTTGAGCTACAGCGCCACTTCCGGTTTTCTGGTGGTTTATTGGAGATAGGAGTCTCACGGTCTCTCCTGCCCAGGCTGGCTTTGAACCGCGATCCTCAGATCTCAGCCTCCTGAGTAGCTAGGATTACAGGCGTGAGCCACCAGCACCCGGCTTTGGCCAGCTTTTTTATCAGTCCTAGCTCTCTGCCACTTGAGCCACTCCTCCACTTCCAGCTTTTTGCTTGCAGTTTTGTCTGCCCTGGCTTTGAACCTCAGTCCTCAGATCTCAGCTTTCTGAGTAGCTAAGCCACTCCTGCCCAGCTCAAATATTTTTATTTTCATTGATATATAGTAATGGTACAAATTTACAGGGCAGAGCGTGGCATTTACATTCATGTATACAATGTGTGTACTTCATCAGATCAGAGTAACTAGTGCATCTGTCACTTCAGACATATACCCATGTCTTTGTGCTGAGGTGTCCCACTGGTCATATGTATTTATTACTTTTTTCCCTAGAACTGGCATTTGAACTCAGGGCTTTATATGTGTGTTCTACCACTTGAACCATACTTTTAGTTCTTTTGCTTTAGGGTATTTACTTATTTACTTAGTGCCTGTACTTGAACTCAGATCAGAGCTCTCTCCTTTAGCTTTTTTTTGTTCAAGGCTGGTACTCTACCCCTTGAGCCACAGAGCCATTTCTGGCTGTTTTGGTATGTGGTACAGAGGAATCGAACCCAGGGCTTCATGCATGCACTCTACCACTAAGCTACATTCCCAGCCTGCTGTTAGTTTTTGCTCAGGGTAGCCTTTGACTATCATTCTGTTATCTGTGCCTTCCAAGTAGCTGGGTTTATAGGCATGTCCTACCATGTCCAGCCTATAATTTTATTCTTTCTTGCCATCAGTTGTATTAATCAAGTATTTTACCTGATTTCATATACAGGCTCTGTGGATCAAACCCAGGGCTTTATGCATGCAAGACAAACGTTCTACCATTAAGTCATGTTCCTAGTCCTTTACTATTTTAATATCTTTCTCTGTGTGTGTGTGTGTGTGTGTGTGTGTGTGTGTTTGTGCCCTCCCTGGGGCTTAAACTCAGGGCCTGGGTGGTGTCCGGGGTCATTTTTTGCTCAGGGCTAGTGCTCTACCACTTGAGTCACAGCTTTACTTCCAGCTTTTTGGTAGTTTATTGGAGATAAGAGTTTCACAGACTTTCTTGCTTGAGCTGACTTCAAACCATAATCCTAACATAGCGAGGATTGGGGCTGGGAAGGTGGCTCAGTGGTAGAGTGCTTGCCTTGCATGCTTAAGGCCCTGCGTTCGATTCCTCAGCACCACATAAGCAGAAAAAGCTGGAAATGGCACTGTGGCTCAAATGGTAGAGCACTAGCCTTGAGCTTAAGAGCTGACAGACAGCACCGAGGCCCAGTGTTCAGGTCCCAGGACTGGCAAAAAAAAACAAAAACAAAAACATAGCGAGGATTACAGGCATGAATCACTGATGCCTGGCAATATCTCTATATTTAAAGGAGGAGCCAGTGGCTCATGCCTCTCAGGAGGTTGAGATCTGAGGATCCAGACTCAAAGCCAGTCCTGGTAGGTTTATCTCCAATAAACCACTCAAAAAACCAGAAGTGGCCCTGTGGCTCAAGTGGTAGAGCGCTAGTTTTTAGCTGAAAAGCTAAGGGACAGCGCTTAGGCCAAGAGTTCAGTGCCCATGACTGACAAAAAAAAAAAAAAAAGGATCTTAGAGGAGGAAATGTTTAACATAGAATATGAGTACTAGTAGTGGACTTTTGGAAAGTATGGCTCTTACAAAGTCTAGGGATATATCTGTCATTTAAAACATTCAGCACAGCCGGGTGCCAGTGGCTCACATTGTAATCCTAGCTACTCAGGAGGCTGAGATCTGAGGATCACAGTTCAAAGCCAGTCGGGGCAGGAAAGTCCGTGAGACTCTTACCTCCAATAAAAGCACTAGAAAACCGGAAGTGGTGTGGCTCGAGGTAGAGCACTTGCTTTGAGCTGAAGAGCTAAGGGATAGCGCCCAAGCCCTGAGTTCAAACCCCACAGCCGACCAAAAAAAAAAAAATTGCACATCCTCAAAACACATAGCATTCTATTTGATAATAGTAACAATACCAATAACTAAGTTATCATTTATAGTTGCTTTTATAATATGTTAAGTTCTGCTGTAGTCATTACATATACACGAATAATATGAATATAGATGCGCATTGAAGCAGATACTTGTTCTATGCTTTGTGTCTCTCAACCCCTCTGACACCTCCAAACTCCACTTGAATCCCTCTCTTCACATGGATTTTCTTTTTTTTGGTTGGTCGTGGGGCCTGAACTCTGGGCCTGGGCGCTGTCCCTCAGCTATTCAGCTCAAAGCTAGCACTCTACCACTTGAGCCACATAGCCACTTCCGGCTTTTTCTGCTTATGTGGTGCTGAGAAATCGAACCCAGGGCCTCAGTTATGCAAGGCAAGCATTCTACCACTGAGGCAGCCCCCCCTTTCTACCACCTTTCCAGCCCCCCTCACATGGATTTTCTCTAATTCCCCTCACCCACTCAACACATGACAGTCTGGCTCACTGGTGCAGTTGGCTCATAGGACTGGGCCTCTTTCCTGAGGTCCTAGTATCTCTGCTCATACCTACACTCTTCACTCTGCTTGAGAGAAATGGGACTTCCAGGATGGACCACATCTACTCTGCCCTTATCTTCATCCATAACTCACTAAGCATGTGCCTCCAACCCCCAAAACCTGTTTCTCCTAAGCATCCTGGGCACAAGGTAGATGTTTAATGAGGATTTGATGAATGAAGCCGAAAGGAAAAAAAAAAAAAAAAGGAAGAATGATCTTATGATTGTATGGACACACATACTCAAGCCCTAAATGCTGAACTGGATTCCCCAACTTGGGCAAGAAGAGGATGTCATCCCTTACCTTGGCATCTTAACGGTCCCTATGCAGGTGCTATAGAAACAACCCATTCCCCTGCTCAGGTCTCTATCCCTGCTTAGGTACAGGGATGATGGAGAGAGGTGGAGGTTGGAAGCGGGTTTGCATCCTTCCTTTACCTTACTCTCCTTCCATTTCTGGATGCGCCTCCATTATATTCTTCGGCTGTAGTACACAAGGATTCTGTTGCAGGCCATTGCGGGCACGCTCTGGAAGCTTCGTTGAAGTAAGGGAGAGATCCTGCAAGCCGGCTCAGACACTCTCCCCGCCCTGACAAAGTCTGAGGTGGTTCCCATTGACGTCATCCAAAGCAGCGACTTTTGATTGGGTACTAGTCTACAGTGTGCCGCGCCATTGGTTGCAACGCCTATCAATTCTGTGTCCAAGCCCCAGGATTTAAAAGCACAGCGCAGGACCCAGAGCAAGTGTTAGCGGGAGGGGTGGACCGGCGATGGGCCTGCCGAGTGTAAACTCTAGGGTCACAAGGGTCACAGGCTCTGTGTCCAGATTTTCCTCCTACCCCAGTTGCGGAGTCCCGGCCTAGCCTTTCCGGTCCCGCCTTCTAACGGTCACGCGGGACCTGCGCCTGCGCACAAGGTGGGGCCGGGCAGGGCGGCGGCAGGAGGCCGATGGTGGGAGGGAGGGTGGGGTTAGGGGGGAATGGGGAGCTGGAGTCAGCCAGGTGGGGTTGGGGCGAGGGCCGGAGGCGATGTCTGTGGAGAAAAGGCCTCAGCCGTGGTATTTACCCTTGGACGTGAGGGAGAGGAAGAAGTTTAGAACCCCGAGGGGGAGCGGCAAGCCCCGAACCCAGGGCAGCCCCGGCATCCATGGGCGTCCACCGCCGGAAGTGGGCTACAAGAGGGCGCCGGAGTTGCGGGAGAAAGGGAAATTGTGCGAACCCTGGCAAGGGCTCATAGTGATTGGGAAGAAGATAGAGCTCCTGGAGAGAAGCCCGCCAAAGCCTAAATGGAGGGACTTGAGGGCTGAGGGAAAAAAGGTCTTGCTGGAAAAGCGAGGCTGGAGTCAGAAGATAGTGGACAAGAAGCCCAGGCCCCGTGGAGCAAGAACAGTACAAGCTCTGCCTGGTTTGGGGGAAAACAACCTAATAGAAGCCTGGAAGACGCAGGAGGAGGAAGCAAAAGGCCAAACTGGGACCATACCCGAGAGTTCAGAGATGACAACGCGCTCCAGAGTGGGGTCTGGGATTGAAGACAGGTTGACAGCAAATGGCAACAAGGTGGAGACCGGGGTAGAGGACCTGAGTTCTAGAAGGTATCAACTAGGACAGAATGAGGAGCTGAGGCCCAGTGGGGAGGAGCAGAGAGCCAGTAGAGAGGAGGTGAAACCCAGTGAAGAGAAGCTTGGGCATATTGAAGAGAAGGTAAGACCTGAAGGAGAGAAGTCAACCTCTGGGGGAGAAAAGCGTGGATCCATTGGAGAGAAGTCAACATCCAGGGGAAAGAAACGGAGATCAAGTGAGGAGAAACGTAGAATCAGTGGAGAAAAGCTCAGATCCAGTGGAGAGAAGCTCAGATCCAGTGGACAGAAGCTCAGGTCCAGTGGTGAGAAGCTCAAGTCCAGTGGTGAGAATCCCAGAATCAGTGGAGAAAAGCTCAGATCCAGTGGAGAGAAGCTCAGATCCAGTGGACAGAAGCTCAGGTCCAGTGGTGAGAAGCTCAGGTCTAGTGGTGAGAAGCTCAGGTCCAGTGGTGAGAAGCTGAGACCTAGTGAAGACAAGCTCAGATCCAGTAGAGACAAGCTCAGATCCAGTGGAGAGACACTCAAATCCAGTGGAGAAAAGCTCAGAATCAGTGGAGAAAAGCTCAGATCCAGTGGAGAGAAGCTCAGATCCAGTGGACAGAAGCTCAGGTCCAGTGGTGAGAAGCTCAGGTCCAGTGGTGAGAAGCTCAGGTCTAGTGGTGAGAAGCTCAGGTCTAGTGGTGAGAAGCTCAGGTCCAGTGGTGAGAAGCTGAGACCTAGTGAAGAGAAGCTCAGATCCAGTAGAGACAAGCTCAGAACCAGTGGAGAGACACTCAAATCCAGTGGAGAAAAGCTCAGTTCCAGTGGTGAAAAGCTGAGACCTAGTGAAGAGAAGCTCAGATCCAGTAGAGACAAGCTCAGATCCAGTAGAGAGATGCTCAAATCCAGCAGAGAGAAACCCAGTTCCAGTGGTGAGAAGCTGAGATCCAGTGAAGAGAAGCTCAGGTCCAGTAGAGACAAGCTCAGATCCAGTAGAGACAAGCTCAGATCCAGTAGAGACAAGCTCAGATCCAGTGGTGAGAAGTTGAGATCTAGTGAAGAGAAGCTCAGATCCAGTGGAGAGACACTCAAATCCAATGGAGAGAAACCCAGTTCCAGTGGCGAGAAGCTGAGATCTAGGGAAGAGAAGCTCAGATCTAGTGGTGAGAAGCTGAAATCCAGTGAAGAGAAGCTCAGATCCAGTGAAGAGAAGCTCAGATCCAGTGAAGAGAAGCTCAGATCCAGTGGAGAGAAACTCAGTTCCAGTGGTGAGAAGCTGAGATCCAGTGAAGAGAAGCTGAGATCTAGTGGAGAGAAACTCAGTTCCAATGGTGAGAAGCTGAGATCCAGTGAAGAGAAGCTCAGATCCAGTGGAGAGATGCTCAGACCCAGTGAAGAGAAGCTCAGTTCCAGAGATGAAAAGCTGAGATCCAGTAAAGAGAAGCCCAAATCCAGTGGAGAGGCACTCAAATCCAGTGAAGAGACTCTCAAATCCAATGGAGAGATACTCAGTGCCAGTGGTGAGAAGCTGAGATCCAGTGAAGAGAAGATCAGATCCAGTGGAGAGATGCTCAGACCCAGTGAAGAGAAGCTCAGTTCCAGAGATGAAAAGCTGAGATCCAGTAAAGAGAAGCCCAAATCCAGTGGAGAGGCACTCAGTTCCAGTGGAAAGAACCTCAGATCCAGTGAAGAGCTCACATCCAGTAGAGACAAGCTCAGATCCAGTGGAGAGATGATCACATCCGATGTAGAGAAACCCAGTTCCGGTGGCGAGAAGCTGAGATCTAGTGAAGAGAAGCTCAGATCCAGTAGAGACAAGCTCTCCAGTGAAGAGATGCTCACATCCAATGAGGAGAAACCCAGTTCCAGTGGTGAGAAGCTGAGATCCAGTGGAGAGATGCTCACATCTGATGGAGAGAAACCCAGTTCCGGTGGTGAGAAGCTGAGATCTAGTGAAGAGAAGCTCAGATCCAATAGAGACAAGCTCAGATCCAGTGAAGAGATGCTCACATCCAATGAAGAGAAACCCAGTTTCAGTGGTGAGAAGCTGAGATCCAGTAGAGAGAAGCTCAAATCCAGTGGAGAGGTGCTCACATCTGATGGAGAGAAACCCAGTTCTGGTGGTGAGAAGCTCAGGTCCAGTAGAGACAAGCTCAGATCCAGTAGAGACAAGCTCAGATCCAGTGAAGAGATGCTCACATCCAATGAGGAGAAACCCAGTTCCGGTGGTGAGAAGCTGAGATCCAGTAGAGAGAAGCTCAGATCCAGTGGAGAGGTGCTCACATCCAATCGAGAGAAACCCAGTTCCAGTGGTGAGAAGCTGAAATCCAGTAGAGAGAAGCTCAAATCCAGTGGAGAGGCACTCAGTTCCAGTGGAAAGAACCTCAGATCCAGTGAAGAGCTCACATCCAGTAGAGACAAGCTCAGATCCAGTGGAGAGATGATCACATCCGATGTAGAGAAACCCAGTTCCGGTGGCGAGAAGCTGAGATCTAGTGAAGAGAAGCTCAGATCCAGTAGAGACAAGCTCAGATCCAGTGAAGAGATGCTCACATCCAATGAAGAGAAACCCAGTTCCAGTGGTGAGAAGCTGAGATCCAGTGGAGAGATGCTCACATCTGATGGAGAGAAACCCAGTTCCGGTGGTGAGAAGCTGAGATCTAGTGAAGAGAAGCTCAGATCCAATAGAGACAAGCTCAGATCCAGTGAAGAGATGCTCACATCCAATGAAGAGAAACCCAGTTTCAGTGGTGAGAAGCTGAGATCCAGTAGAGAGAAGCTCAAATCCAGTGGAGAGGTGCTCACATCTGATGGAGAGAAACCCAGTTCTGGTGGTGAGAAGCTCAGGTCCAGTAGAGACAAGCTCAGATCCAGTAGAGACAAGCTCAGATCCAGTGAAGAGATGCTCACATCCAATGAGGAGAAACCCAGTTCCGGTGGTGAGAAGCTGAGATCCAGTAGAGAGAAGCTCAGATCCAGTGGAGAGGTGCTCACATCCAATCGAGAGAAACCCAGTTCCAGTGGTGAGAAGCTGAAATCCAGTAGAGAGAAGCTCAGATCCAGTGGAGAGATGCTCACATCCAATGGAGAGAAACCCAGTTCCGGTGGTGAGAAGCTGAGATCCAGTGAAGAGAAGCTCAGATCCAGTTTAGATAAGCCCAGATCGAGTGGAGAGACACTCAAATCCAGTAGAGAGAAACTCAGTTCCGGTGGTGAGAAGCTGAGATCCAGTGAAGAGAAACTCAAATCCAGTAGAGACAAGCTAATATCCAGTGGAGAGACACTCAGTTCCAGTGGAAAGAAACTCAATTCCAGTGGTGAGAAGCTCAGACCCAGTAGAGACAAGCTGAGATCCAGTAGAGAGAAACTCAGTTCCAGTGGAAAGAAACTCAGTTCCAGTGGTGAGAAGCTGAGATCCAGTGAAGAGAAACAGAGGTCCAGTGGAGAGAATTTGAGGACTGGTGGAAAAGATTTGATATCCACAGAAGATAAACAGCGGTCAAGTGCTGAAAGCTTACACTACAATGAGAAGTTGGAGGAAGGCTCAAGAAAGGAGAGTGAAACAGAAGAGGAAATTGAAACAGTGATAAAAGTTACTGATGGTGAAAGAGAGATAGGATCTCCTGATGAGATGGAAATTCCTTTAGAAAGTATAGAAAGAGAAAGAACTAGAAATGGTTGAGCCAAGGAATGAAGTTGATAAGAATGACTTGAATGAAGAGAAAAATATTACTGGAGAATCTGTTGCATTGGAAGAGAAAGATATGACAGATGAAGGTCCCAGTGGATGAAATGGATGAAGGATTGAAACAAGGTGGTGGGGGAGTATTGAAAACCAACGAGGAAAAGTTAGAGCCAAGAAGAACATTACTGATCCTGAAGGGTTCAAGATGAAAGAAGAGAGGAGAAAGCCACAGCCTAAAAAGTGTGGGAATGAAGGAGAACAAGAACCAGTGGAAGTGAAGAAGAATGGGAAAGATGGAAACAGGAATCTTTTGAGGAGAAAGAAAAGATTTAGTAATTTATTATAGAGGAAATTGGATATTGGGTTATTAAAGAATATTTGAGAAATCGATTTAAGATTGGAGATATGAGAAGGAGACTGCATACAGAGGAGGAAAAAGCAGGATAAAGGATAACCATGGAAGGTTGTGGACAAGTAGGCTGAAGTGCGAAAAATATCTGGAAGCAGATCCTGAAGAATGAGGGGACAAAAACAAGAGGACATGGAGATGAGCAACTTACAAGGTGAAAAAAGTAAGAAGCCATAATCCATAATAGTGATTATATTTGGTTTGTTTGTTTATTTTGCTGTTATTTACTTACTTTGGATTTGCAGTAGTAGGATTTGAACTCAGTCTTATAATTACTAAGCAAGTACTCTACCACTTGAGCCATGTCCCTGGCCCATATTTGTTGGTTTTCAGTTAGTTCCCTCCCTATTTCTGTACTTTGTCCTCCTATACAGCCAACTTACCATCTAATATGCCCACAGGGCTGTACCATCTGATTCTACCAATTGTATCTTTGCCAGTCTTCATATTTTAATCACTTCATCACAATCACTATTTCTTCTATATCAAACTCAAATCATTCATGCTCCATATGAAGTTGTCTTCTTTGTACCTGCATTGTTTCCATCTTTGACTTTTTTTTTAATTTTTATTTTTGTTGGTCATGGGGTTTGAACTCAGGACCTGGACTCTTTCACTCAATGCTAGAGCTCTACCACTTTGAGCCACAGTGCCACTTCCAGTTTTCTGGTGGTGAATTGAAGATGAGTCTCATGAAGTTTCCTGCTGGGGCTGGCCTCAAACCATGATCCTCAGATCTCAGCTATCTAGAGAGCTAGGATTACAAGCATGAGTTGCAGGTGCCTGGTTCCGTCTTTGACTTTTAATTATTATTTTAATAACGAGTGCTTTTTGTCTTCTTAAGTCTCTTTTTTCTTCTTTCTTTCTTTTTTTTTTTATGCTCAGTCGTGGGGCTTGAACTTTGGGCCTAGGTGCTGAACCTCAGCTCTTCAGCTCAAGGTAAGGGCTCTTAACACTTGAGCCACAGTGCCACTTCTGGTTTTCTAGTGGTTTATTGGAGATCTGAGTCTCATGGACTTTCCTGCACAGGTTGGCTTTGAACCACAATCCTCAGATCTCAGCTTCCTGAGTAGCTAGGATTACAGGCATGAGCTACTGGTGCTCAGCAAGTTTTTGTTTTTAAATAATTTAGTTGTTATTGTGAAGGTCTTTCACCTTTTGGGTTAAGTATTTTAGTTTTTTGAGGGCTATTGTGAGTGGAATTGTTTTCTTGATTTCTTCCTCAGCCTGTTTCTTATTGAGATATATAGAAAAGCCAGTCATAGGCTGGGAATGTGGCTTAGTGATAGAGTACTTGCCTAGAAGGCATGAAGCCCTGGGTTTGATTCCTCAGTACCACATAAGCAAAGAAAGCCAGAAGTGGTGCTGTGGCTTAAGTGCTAGCCTTGAGCAAAAGAAGCTCTGAGACAGTGCCCAGGCCCTGAGTTCAAGCCCCAGAACTGGCAAAAAAAAAAAAAAAAAAAAAAAGAAAAGAAAAGCTAGTTAGTCCTGAATGTTGGTTTTATAGCCAGGTAATTTCTAAAATAAACATTTTTCAGTTCTAGAAGGTTTTTGGTGGAGTCTGTAGAGTCCTTTAAGTATAGGCTCTTATCATCTGCAAATAAGGAATAACTTGACTGCTCTATTTAAATCCCTTTTATTTATTTTTACCTGCCTTACTGTTTGCTAAGACTTTTTTTTTTTTTTTTTTTGTCGGTCGTGGGGCTTGAACTCTGGGCCTGGGTGCTGTCCCTCAGCTCTTCAGCTCAAAGCGAGCGCTCTACCACTTGAGCTACAGAGCCACTTCCGGTTTTCTGGTGGTTTATTGGAGATAGGAGTCTCACGGTCTCTCCGGCCCGGGCTGGCTTTGAACCATGATCCTCA